TGTGTGTGTATGTATATTCTTAATCTTAAATTTTTTTCTTATATATTTTTTTATATTTTTAGGTTATAGAAGATTGGAAATTCGTAGCTATGGTTTTAGATAGACTTTTTCTTTGGGTTTTTACATTGGCATGTACTGCAGGAACACTTGGCATAATATTTCAAGCACCAAGTTTATATGATACAAGAGAACCTGTGGACCAACAACTTTCTGGAATATCACCTCGCAATTATATGTATCCAAATATAGAAATTTCTCCAGAAGGATAAATTTTGAAATTCATAATATATATAATACGCGTAAAAAGACTATATATAATATAAAAATATTAAATCATTAATATTCTATTTATATCTATTTTATTTCTTATAATTTTAGATTGACTTTTATAAACACAGAATTTATATCAAATATAATCTAAATAGTTTTATTAACCCTGAATTAAACAATATTCACAACTAAATATTTTATTAAAAAAAGTAATTTTAAAAAAATTTTTAGGTTTAATTATATTAAAATTTGTAGTACAAGTATTTACATTTTATATTTCGCTCTTTCATTTACACATTAAAGTTAATAAGAAATTTATATTACAAAATAATCTTAAAATTCAAAATGACTATTATTTTAGACAAAATTATATGTGATTTTATTATGATAATGAAAAAGTATAATAAAGCAATTTATTATTTAAATTAATTTGATCTTATTTATACATTATGAGTTAAATACCAAACAAATAATGTATCATCTCTACATATCTAATGAAGGAATGCTAGATTATTATACATATATAAAAAAAAATATTTTGCTTATTTTTGTCAAATTTTAAGTACCAAAAGTAAAAACGTTATGAATTATACTTATTATTATACAGTAACTTTTTTGTAAGACAATCACAAAACTATTAAACTTTTAGTTTTTCTTCTGTACAAAATTGCATATTTGTTTTAAAATTTGGCAATTTGATAATAAATTTAATAAATACAAAAAATTCTATTCTAAATCAATTATCATTAATTCTGGCGATTCACTTGTACTGCTAATCGAGCTAGTTTGTGATTTTTTTGGTGAAGAAGTACCACTAGCTATTTTTTTTGTACTTTGTGTTGGTGTGGTATGTTCATCATCATCATCACTATCTGATATTAAATCAATCACAACAGCTCGTTTCTTTTCCTTTTGAGGTGTAAGACTGCTTTCATCTAAACAATTAAATGATTATATATTTATCAAAATAAAAACATTTATTTTTAAATTTGCGATATATATTTATAAACATATTAGAAATAAAATCTCACCAAGATCAACTGTATCTACATCGATTTTACGATCTTGCGAATTTGTAATAACTTTTGTTTCGTTCTTCTCTTTATCCTTTTCTTTTTTTAAAACTAAATTTTCCCAAGATCCGTCTTGCAATAATTGAATTTCATTTACATCTGGTAATAATTTCTTAGAGTTTAATACTTCTTGAAAATATCCATCGATAACGAGATTATCATATAACGCTGGTTTATCACAAACTGGACAATTCCATGTTGGTTTTCTTTCATTCATTTGAAGAAACAATGATGCATCAAAACATTGCAAATGCGAACATGTTGTCGCCCGACATGGTGTACTCATTCGCATTTTGCCTAATGGACAAGCTAAAGATACTCTAAGCGAAGTTGTCGCTATTTCACTATCTGCATCTTCGTTAAGTTTCTCTTTAACTAGAAAAATCATAATTCATAATAAATCATAATAAAATCATCAGTAAAAATCAGTAAGTTTCAGCATTGTAAAATATTGTAATTGTAGAACTACTTACTTAAACCTCTTGTATAATCCGAATGTCGAACACCCCTACTTTTTAACCTTGATAATAATTCAGCACTTGAAAGTTTTCTTACTAGATATATCGCAATTGCATATCGTCTGCCATAATCAGCCGACCACGTTACGTGAATTTGATTTGCTACAGTAGGAGATAATTTAACTAAAGGACTAATATTAACAGGCCTTGGTGGCCTCTTTGGTTCTACTCCGGGTTTATTAGTAGGTATTGGATTCTGAAAAAAAAATAAAATATTTTATTTATAAAAATTCTAGTTTTAATAATATTCCCATATATTTATATGTTTTCTATATTTTTATAAACTTACAGGTAAGGGACACAATTTTCCATTAACTTTTACAGCAATACTTGGTGGAAAACAATCTTCTTGTTCACATGAAGTTTCTTGTAAACAAAATCGCATTTGTATCTGAAATAATCATAGTTTAAATTATAAAATATTCCATACAAATTTAATATTGTTTAAAAAAAAGTAATTTTCAAAATGTACCTGCACTGTATAATCCATTTTACTTCCTGCACGACAATCACGCGAACTTGCTACATCTGTTGATTGCTGTGGTGTTAAATGAAACATAAATGTATTTTCTTGAAGTCGCATAGATCCCTGAGGCATTAGACTAGATGGCTTTAATAACTCAGCCAATAAATCAAAAAATGGTAGCTTTTTAAGTCTGACATCTGGATGAACAGGATACTGACTTCTGGGTTGAATTTGTAATGGTGATGGTAAAACTTTTGGTGTATATGGATATGGATTGTAAGCTGCACTTGTTGTTTGCTAAAATATTAATATATTAAATTAAATTAAAAAAGCAAAAGCAATTATCTAGGACTAATATATGAATAAATCTATTGATATATAAATTTTTATATACATAAAATGTTAACTTACTTGTGGTGTTACGCTAGTATATCCTGATTGATACACTGGATTGGTTCTAGGTGCTTGAGGTAGTGATGCTTGATGAGCAGGTGGTAAATCTTTTCCACTAGAAACTGAAGACTGTGATTGTTGTTGCTGACTGATAGCTTGTCTTCATATTAATTAAAATAAGAAACAATATTATCAAATCTAATTTAATATAATAATTTAATATAATAGATTATATATATAATAGATTATATATATTTTTTAAAAATATGTTCTTTACATTTCATACATTCTATTTGCTTTATGTATTTACCTTGTATAATAATTTCTGGAATGCATGTTTTGATCTATCTGTGGCTCACCAGAACTACCTGTTTGACCATACATTTGATGTGCAGCTAATTGATCAGCTCTAAACAAAATTTTGAAAGAAAGAATGAAACTAAGGTTTTATTTTAATGACCCATTGATATTTATAACCTTACTATAAAAATAATAGGATACCATAGTAGATATGGAGAGAAAAATATTTTTCAATTTTACTGAAATAAACAAACAAATAAAATATATAAAAATTTGATAAATCATAATAAAAATTTTTAATAATTTAATATAATCAAATAAATAGTTATTAACATTATTAAGCTTTATACTCACTGTATAGTTTTATATAGTTCACGTATTTTGAGTTGAATTGGATGAGACCTCAAACGTAACAATTCTAATGCACGACCTTGTAATTCGTTTTTTCTACCTGATTTATTTCTACCAGCAAAACCAAGAAGCATCTGAAGTTCAGACACTCGAAAACTCAATATCATATTCTGCAATAGAAAATTATATGCATATATTTTATATAATTCATTGTTAAAAAACCTATTATTTTAATAAAAAAAAA